GACGAGCTATATGACCACAAAGCACCCAAAATAACGAAAGAAAAAAGATGAGGTATCTGATTTGTGTCCGTTGTTAATTTTTTCTGTCAACTTAGAAATCTACTTTTTGAAAGAAGATAAGCCAAAATGAAAGAAGAACGACAGATGAATATGGAAAGTCTTGGAATTTTAGTCAATTGTCTCTCTTAAACTAGGCCAAAATAAGACATGTCAAAGTCGCACATGGACCTCTTAGCTTTAAGTTCACACAAAGAGGAAATAGATAAAAAGGGGACAATCAAAATCCATAAAACCAAGAAAAACAGTCGACGCCATTGCCAAAATTGAATTACGACATGACAACAAAAGTCTATACAAACCACTACACAGAAAACAAAAATCAAAAGATTGAGTAACGCGAAGGCCACGAAGAACCATGGATGAACGCAAGTGAATCAGAAGGGTCAGCAGTTCCAGCACCACTAGTGACATCCGTCGTGAAACTCCTTTTAAATAAACGTACGTTGGTGAGCCACAAGCTCTCTGATCTTTAAAATAACTCGTGAAACAATCTTTCTTATCGAACCTACAAGAAGACCTTTTGTTATATTAGAAAAAAGTAAAAATAACTGACCCTTTCTTTTAAAACTTAAAAAATTAACAGCCAGATATGTAAATTTATCGATTGTGGATTCTTTTAGTTAGTCTGGATTCGCATGGCGGATGATGCGTGCTGTATAGAAAGAGACGCTTTAATCTACGTCCTCCTCCTTTAATGAGGAGTTGATGCGTATTTTCAGTTTGTGTTTTTTTTTTTTTTTGTGTATTCAAAATGGATTTACCTGTCATGATCGTATAACTAATAGTCTCTCATTTGACTGTTTTATAGCAATATATCAACATGTTTATACAAGCTGTATAATGTATCTTCCTAGAATAATCCAATGGTGATTTCTTTCTTATTCTGTTACGCATTATACCTTCTTTATCTCTCGTAAAAGAATTGCAAGATGGCAGTTGAAAAACTCATTTCAAATCAGAACTATTAAACCAGCTTTTTCAGAGGAAGCCGCAGTTCTTCATCGGCAATCCTCGTTCAAAAACTGCATGATCTTTTTTCGCATTAAACAATAAAATACAATCTTTAAAAGTACACTTATTTTCTAAGAAACTGTTGGCTTTTCGAATGACGCATCGTAAAAGATCCATTGAATTATTCAAGCAGCAGGAACCCTTTAGTTCTAAAGACATCTTTTAACATATACATTACCACCCAACAGTTTGGTAAATCATTTTGGACATCAAATTACAAAAATCCAAATTCTATGATATATTATCCATAAATGGCATAATCGAAGCTAATATATGACTTTGGTTTATTCTGGAAGTAGTAACTAAGCAACTACTGGTGTGTTCCATAATAAAAATATAAATTGCTCCTATATACACCTGTAATTGTTCTAGTATTAGGCGATTTGATTTCTATCATGCCTACATTTTCATATTCTTTTTATGAAATTCAAAACAAATTTGATGTGACAGGGAGCGTCATTATGAGTTACTTTGAAAATAAATATTTCGTTGAAGCGACATACACTGCATATATTGACTATGCTAGAAAATTACGTTTAAATGTCTGTGGTAATTTAATACACAACTAAATACTTACCTAGAAAATCCGATCATTGAAAGAATAGAGATTTAATATTGAGGAAGACAATACCAAGGGGCAACCAAAAATCATAGTTCGAAAGAAAAACGGATAACACCATGTCCAAACAAAACGCTACGAAAAGTCAAACAATAGGCCACAAAACACTATAGGTTGAACTTTGTAAATACAGCTGTTTCACAAACCACGCCTTTTTTGGGGAGATATATAATATTCATAGATATTTTGTTTTGTTTACGTACTGGTTCCCAGATATAATCTCTATGTTTCATCTCATAGAGACATAACTTGGTAATGTTACCAGTATACATGCACATGGTAGGCGGCGGAATTGAATTCTGAGGAAGAACCAAAGTGAAGGGAGGGGTAGTGCAGAATTTTAATATAATTTTAAACTATTAGAAGTTCGGGGCATAAAAATATTGAAAATATGCCGCACAGCCCTATGTTTTGACCTTTGAATAAACAAGTAGTGCATATCAACTTTCCATTCTAGGATATAATTTTTTACGAAACTTCATAGTAAAAGTAGCACAGTTTTAGCCATAAAGGGAGTTCCTATGGGAAATTGCATTGTCTATATTTACAGAAGTGCAACCTACACATAAAACTAAAGATTGAAAATACAAACCACAACCATAAAGCGGGGGTTGATTTCGTGCGTATCAGGAGTATAAAAGAGTCAGTTGTTCCTGCTTCACATTTGACTGCCGTGTTACTATTGTTTATAAAATATACTTTGAAAAAAGTATCCATTGGATATAAATTATATTATAACCCTTAGATATCACCAAATTCATTAACTATTAGTTAATTATCTTACCCTTAACTGAATTGACTGAATTTGAAGTTTGAAATGAAAACCTAGTTTTTGAGGACCATCGACGAAAAGTTACTAGTAGAAACACCATTGAAAAATTCGAGTAGCAAAAAATAAACAAAACAACACTAGGAACTAAAACCAGAGAAACATGAGCCTCCTATACACAAAACTACGAGTAAATTTCATGTACTCCGGTAGGGTAAGCAGTTACATAAAATTTTTTCAACATTCTGTCAAGCGCTTCGGGAGAAGTATTAGTGGATACCGAAAGATATGATTGTAGCGGAAACAAAATTGGAAAGAAGGACGAACGGACTCCCCATTAATTTATAACGCCCGCTTCGTAAAGCAGGTGGTATAATTAAGAAAGTATTCTGATCTCCAACACTTCATTGGTTTACGACCCATTAACTTTCAAGTTATAATCAAAAAATTAAGCGATTACTGTTTTTAACAGTGTATATAACTATTGTTTCAGTTTTTTGCACATTAACAAAAGGTCTTCGTGGTTTAACTACATTGTATCTTTCATTTTCGTTTCATTAACTCTGAGGCAATAAATTTTAAAATCGTTCAAACAAAGTGCACGATTAAGGTCAAGTTACAGTAAATGACCAATTTAACAGATTTTTGTAAGAAGTTGGTTTACAACTAAGGCATGTTATACTTTAGTTATAAAGTGATTCACAATCGATTCAGCTTTTTATGTTCTTAAATAGAAATGAATACTTTTAAAGTAACAGCTATCTATAGAGAAGACACGTATAATCGGGGACAAAAATGTTAATGGTTCTGTTGAAACTTAAAACACAACATTGTTTTAAAAAGCAAAATGCAGCCACGAAACGTAATTTTCCAGCTCATTTTGAGAATTGAAAATAAATATTTTGTTCATTTAATGTATGATAAGTACCATTATCTGGACTTTGACATTATGTTACAAAATGACATATAATAGAAAATGAAAGAATATGGAGTAAATGTACATGGGACAAAATCGGACACAATACATAGAAAAAATAAAAAAAAATATAAATGAACAGGGCTTTTATTCCTGTTCTTCATCTTGACAGTTGATGTAGGGTCTTCAACAATGAACGAATCATTCATACCCTACAACAAGGTCAAAACGGCCCCTAGCGTCGACTTAAGCGGTACTATTGGTAAAAAGAAACCACAGTTCACCTTCTTGCTCCCCACCCGCCTCGGAGTGCCAACTTGTGCGATGAATGTATGATCTCAAGGAAATTGAGAGCACATTTAAAAAGTCATTGACTACTTAGACTTGTGAATTTTACCGCTTCCCTAAGTTCAAATTATCAGAAAAGCTTTGAATAATGATAAAAGAAGTTAAAATATTTCGTTGTGACCATGGATGGTGTTGTGATACAATATTGTGACCATGGATGGTGTTGTGATACACTATTGTGTTCTACACTTTTAACTAGTTTAATTATGTTCACGAATATGACATCACCGAATGAGACTTACCACCAAGTTTGTACCAATATGACCAACATAAAAGTACTTGAGATCTCCCCTGGGTTTTGGGAGGAGTTCTTTTTGCACAGTCTTAAGTCTTCTTTGTGGTGTTTTGTAGATTGTTGTTTGTCTTTTTATTATTTTTCGGTTGTCCTTTTTTTTGCCATGGCGTTGTCAGTTTGTCTTCGACTTATGAGTTTAAAAGCCCCTTTGGTATCTTCAGCCTCTCTTTAGGGGACCGAACTAAATCAAATATATAACACTCTTATTCCACTGGGCCAAGAATAATAATTCATACAGATTTAAGTCGTAGGAAAATACCATTAAGTTGTACAATAGCCTCACAGACAAAAAGATTATAATAAGAATGCTGCTCCGCTAAGCAGAAAAAATATCAATTACCTGCTCAGCTTAGTCCGGCTTTTAAGTAAAATGAGGTTGACATTGATTAAACGTGCCATTTTGATTTGAAGCCAGTATGTTACATGGTAACCTACAAAATTAATTAAATACAGATTAAACCTGGTACGCAGGCACAAATAGAATCCGCTAAACTTTACGACTTTTCTTAATGAGGTGAGAAAATTCTTTGATTTTAAATATGTGATTCAGAAAATACAAATATGTTATCTCACATATTAGGAATATCTTTTTAATAGAAATAGGGGATACATATGATTCTAATAGGAAATTAATATTCCGTCAAAAATACAAATAAAGGCAATATTATATGTTAATAAGTATATTATACTCAGGTACATGTATATACATATGACTAATATATTTCTGACTTCATAGAACATTGTACAAAAGAAATATATATATCAATCTTCACCTCATGATCAATTATATAGTAGAAATCAATGCATCTATTAGTCGAAATCAGTTGATCTTTAACCAAATGATGAACGCATTATCGTTTTGGAGGCTAATTCTTATCTTATATGAAACCCTTCTATCTGATTGGTAAATCTGTGAAACGAAACAATCAATCTGCTCATTCTAGCAAGTGGTTTTATAAGCTAATGCTCTGTTGTGAAGACTTTCTATATACCAACTCAATTGTATTTTACTGTCGCTGGAGGTATTTTTACTTGTCTCTCAATGTATTTAGATAAGTAACGCTTAATTAGCGTGTTTAATATATAAGATACAGAGCTGCAGATGTTTGTTAATTGGAAAACGAGTGAAAAAGATACATTAATATATTGAGAGAAGAAAATAGAAGACAACACCTCTTCTGCATGAACACATGAATTTAGATTTAAAACACGTTATTCCTTCTTAAGGCATTTATTTTTATATCATTAAACATATTTTACATAACATTTGACTGAAGGAAATAATATTAGACTAAAAAACTATAATAATATTTTCCGTCATCAGTGCGTCTATCGAATGTTTATTGGAAAGTAAGCCAGGAGCCATACATGTGCAAAGTATCACAGGAAATGCAGAAATTTCTATTTTAAAGTTTTAATCCAGCAACCTCCGTCAATGAACTTGAACAAACTATTATGGCTAATATCACTAACGAAGCAATGTTGAACCACACCGAGTATGGAAATATGTTTTGGCTTCCGTGGTGGCAACAGTTTCTCTTCATAACGGCATTTATAATTCTCATTTTGGTGGCAGCAGTTGGTAATTTAGTTGTAATATGGATAGTTTTAGCACATAAACGTATGAGGACAGTAACTAATTATTTCTTGGTCAACTTAGCAGTAGCTGATGCTTTGATTTCCATTCTGAACACATTGTTCACATCAACTTTTCTCATGTACCAGGATTGGTGGTACGGAAACGTATGGTGCAAGTTTACTATGTTTATATCTATTTGTACAGTAGTTGCAAGTGTACTGACACTTATGGCGATCGCAATAGATAGGTATGTATATTGTAATTTCTTAAGCGTGAAATAGTTTTCACAAAAGTCATAGTTTTTACATATGTTAATGCATTGTCAAACACATTTATAAAGCGCTAAAGGGAACAAAAACAAGTTTTATGTTTTATACAAAACAGTAGGTTCAATTGCCGAAGATTATGTTGTGTTTATAATACTCGATTTATTTCATTGCCAAATCAATTTTGATTTTATAAACCGATCATTTCACAAATAGAGAACATATATGTCAGGCACGATAGCCTTAAACATCATTGATATCACTGTCTAAAATGTGAGCTATAACGACGGATTTACTGTTGCAGGTTGACGTCGATGGGGAACTTTTAAAAAAAATGTTCTTCAATTACTCACATTTGACGTAATTAATTTTCAACTTTGATATAAGTTTAATACATGAATTGTAATAAAAACGATTATAATCAAGCACTGCATAGCAAAATAAAAAGACTAAAGTTTTAATCAGTTTTAAACTAAAATCAGGAAAGTGGAAATTCAAAGGAAATATTGATGTTACTACAATGTACCTCTGAAAATATGGTTATCCAAGAAAAAAAAAACGAAAAAAAACAAACTAACGGACTAGAAATTTAAGATACTTTTACACAATAATGGTATAATGATTACTGCTATAGTTCATTTTAGAAGAACTGATCACACTTGTCAGGAATCAGTAACTGAAATAATAAAGATAATTGAATTTTTGTTTGACTTAAAGCAAACCAAAATATTTGTGTTCACATAGCAGCAATGTTTCCATTAAACTTCCAAGAAAATGATTAATTGTTGTTTATTATTAGTTACTTTACATCTAGTAGACACTATGTAAGGAAGTTCGCTACTCTGTTTTGAAATAATAAGCGTTTTAAAAGACTGGTATAAATTGATAGTACAGAAATAACTTAAAAAGTAGAAAAAAATTATAGATCCGTGTCATTATTTTTTTTTTAGATATAAGGCATTGAAAATTATGCGGGAATTGATTTTCTCTAGATTTTCATACATTTTAACATTGGCACCTTTTTTCTTTCAAAAACTATGAAAAAATAACAAGGATTTGTTGAGATTTTCAAAAAATTGGTTTTTAAAACCATACGTTATTAAATTATGAAAATTGCGGGTTAGCGGGCAAAATTTGTAATGGCACTACATAGATAAAACCAGAGGGTTCCGAATATCTGACAAAAAAAAAGTAAAAACAAGAGCAGCGAACATCATTAAGAGATAATCTGATTGAAACAAAACATAAATCATTAATTTAATTGTTAATGTATTATAAAAAGTGGGCATGTAACTTAAAGGTAAAGTAAGAAGTTTTCCTTATACGAATTTGTATGTCCATCGAGCGTATCACAATTGCAACATATTTTTGTTGAAAATCCCGAACAAAGGTTTATATATAATACATGATGTATTAATAATAGTCAACACCATTTTTTCGCTTGGGATAGTTATGATTAACGATACAATACACAAAACATAAATAAGGTTTACGTCGAAACAGTGTGCAACACAAACCAATATTAAAAGTAATATAAATAATAAATACAAAAATACAAAAATAAATAATTCGTATACAAATTATCATTTATACATTTAACTAAAATATCATTTGCTTGATTTAAAATGGCGATTATTTCTCAGCCTGAAAATTATAAAATTGAGAATGGAAATGGGGAATATGTCAAAGAGACAACAACCCGACCAAAGAGCAGATAACAGCCGAAGGCCACCAATGGGTCTTCAACGCAGCGAGAAAATCCCGAACCCGGAGGTTGTCCTCAGCTGGCCCCTAAATAAAATTGTGTACTGGTTCAGTGAAAATGGACGTCACACTAAACTCCAAAACACATAAAGGAACTAAAATTAAAAAAACGTACAAGACTAACAAAGGCCAGAGGCTCCTGACTTGGGACAGGCGCAAAAATGCGGCGGGGGTTAAACATGTTTTGTGAGATCTCAACCCTCCCCTATACCTCTAACCAATGCAGAATAAAGAAAAACATAGCAATACACACAGTAAAACTCAGTTTAAAAGAATAGTATATTATATATATATATATATATATATATAAAGTGCCTAGAAAATCAACCTAACAATGTTAGAGTAGATTTGATTCTTTACTTCCTCCCCAAGCGGGGCTGGAACCTGTACTTTTCACTTCATTCTTCTAGGTTGATTTTCTAGGCACTTTATAAATATTCTAAAGCCTGGCATTTCTTAATCATAAGAAATCCGATGGACAAGGTATAATTTACAGTTGTCACTACACATAGGCAGACATATATATATATATATATATATATATATATATATATATATTATATCACTTATGTCAGCTATTTACTTCTTTGCAATAATTGTAACAATGTTCAGTAATTTGTTGAAGCTGTTTGAATAATATACTGTTTAATAGTACAAGACTCCGGGTTCAGGAGCCTCTGGCCTTTGTTAGTCTTGTACACAGTAAAACTCAGTTTAAAAGAATAGTATATTATATATATATATATATATATATATATATAAAGTGCCTAGAAAATCAACCTAACAATGTTAGAGTAGATTTGATTCTTTACTTCCTCCCCAAGCGGGGCTGGAACCTGTACTTTTCACTTCATTCTTCTAGGTTGATTTTCTAGGCACTTTATAAATATTCTAAAGCCTGGCATTTCTTAATCATAAGAAATCCGATGGACAAGGTATAATTTACAGTTGTCACTACACATAGGCAGACATATATATATATATATATATATATATATATATATATATATATATATATATTATATCACTTATGTCAGCTATTTACTTCTTTGCAATAATTGTAACAATGTTCAGTAATTTGTTGAAGCTGTTTGAATAATATACTGTTTAATAGTTTTATTTGAAATTCCAAATTATGGGATTACAATATAATCGTGTTCCATTTTATTTCTTTAGCACGAACTTATAAAACTCCCGACACCATCGTTATTCTTTAACCCCTGCGATCATGAACCATCCACCGACCACCCGGTGGATCACAGCTGATTACGGCATTTCTATTGTGTTGACTGCCCTATGGACATGCTTAACGTGAGACTTTTTCTACAACATTTGTCAAATGATTATTAGATTTCACCTTGAATGTATAAACTAAGGCTTTTTTCAAGGACGTAAAACGTTCCTAGAAATATCAGCAATATCCGACCATTGATTGAAAATTTAGCCATTTTGTCAGAACAAAAACACTTCATTAAGACAAAAAAATCTCGTTATTTTGACCAGTCCTATGTCACATCTTAAAGTGTTCACTGAAACAAGCCATCAATAATGGCTATGGCCTTTATTATGTTTGTAAGTTATTTCTGAGTTCATTAAGCAATAGTTTAAACTTCAATGGCTTTCGTCTAATACGGGTATATTTTCAGTTCATTAAATGTGCATTTTACTGTCATGTAGAGATACAAATTACATTCTTGATTATAATGAGATATCGAGAACGGTCTATTTTGATTTATATTATGATTTTTTTGAAAAGTTGTTGATCATGAAAATGACATTTTGAAGTAGTGCTACATTGTAATATATAATACAATAAACCCTCATATACCTTTTTCTCTCATACAATGTGCAAATTGATGTTCTAAAAAGTAATAATTGATAATGTACACATAATGCAATCACCTTATGAATATCTTTATAAGTAGCATACTATGTAATTTTTCATCGTCATTTAATTGAAAAATTTAACTGTTAATATACTCGTATCTCATTATCTCGAGTCCACAAAATGACAACTTCGACGTCATTTGTCCTCTCGTGGAGAGTTGTCTCATTGGCAATCATAGCACATCTGATTATTTTTATAAAGTTGCTTGGGTAGTTTGTTTGAAGCCTCCTTTGCTGCTAGGTTAATTATGTAGTTGGTCACATGCATTAATCATTTTCTCTCTCTGGAAGACCATTGGGAAATTCTGATTCTGGAAGACCAAAGGAAAATTCTGATCAAATGACTTTTTTCAAAAGATTATAACATACATTTGACAATACCATTCTATTTTTTAGTTTAGCTTAAGCAGAGATAATCGAAATACAATTCAGATTCTTGCTGAAAACAATTACCTTTTTCATTGTTAATATGAAACCGCCCTTTTGATACTAGTATGCGGTTTAAAAGACAACTTTTACATGAAACTGACCAATTTCGTTTCGAATATCTATATGAATAAAAGGAGACTAAAGGGTATACGTTAATGATACAGCAATCTCCCGAAAACTTATCAAGCAATGAACATACGGTTGTCAACAAAAGACAAGTCTATATAAAATGTCAAGCTCTAAATCGCCCAGAGTCTATAAAAAGTTGAGAACCAATACACCTAATCGCTATTTATTCCATTCCAGGTAAGTTCTAAAATTACACAACTTTTTCGTCCAGTTGAAGCTATCTGGGACCCTGTTTAAACAATACACCATGCATGATACTTTTTAATGAGACCTGTTTAAACCATCGTAAATACTTCTGATCAAACAAAATATTTTTTTTGCTGTAATTTGAGTTTCGAAGAAGTGGATCATAATATATCAAAGTTTCCTATTGATCGCTTTCTAAAAATTTTCCTCCCTCAGCTCGTTACTGATGACCTTTGTTTTGCCTAACTGTTGACCCAAACAGGAAGTTGTCTAAATGACTGTTTTTTCCGGATTGGACTAAATAGCGATAAGGTGTATTGAACAGAGACTATTAAAGATCTGTCAACACCATATTTTCTAAGTAACACAAATACCAAGATTAAACTAGAAATAACCAGTTAACGGACTTCGGACTAGCACATGTAAACCACGTGGCGGTTTTAAATAGTTTTTTGAGGTCTCGACAACTTTTATTATCGACCAGTGGATAAATAAAAGGTACTAAACAGAATTTACAATAACAATCATTATAAAACCAAGTTTTCATTTCTTAAATACAAAATAACGAAAACACAAGTACAAGCTA